GATACAAATGTTATAGTGAGGATGATGACTGGCTAAGAAAGCAAGGTAGGTTATATAATAGCTATGGCTTGCCGTGCCTAGGCTCTCCCATTGCATTATCCAGACTCCATTCAATTTCTTTTTTTTTACTTCATTGCTAGAGAAATTGAGCAATTGAGATTTTGTAAGGTCTTGTAAAATCACGGATGGGCAGCCCATAAAGCGATAATCCAGTGTTCCGCCCAGGGCGGACATTCTGCACTGAATTTTTTTTAGAATTATTCCTTTTCTGGTCCGGCAGTGGCATCACCTTCACCAGTGCTAGCCAGCACTCCTCAGCCAAGGTCTGAATGGGACTCGCCCTCGTCTTCACAACCTGTTCCTGCTTTGGAGACCTCAATTCTTGGAGACGTGACCAACGTAAGCTTTTATGAGTGATGTTACTGGGTACATATGCTCTGTAAATCATTTTAATTTGCTTTTTTAGGTTAATGAGACGCCCGAATCACGTAGACGTGTCGAAGATACTGCTAACCAGGTTTCGCTTCCACAAATGGAACCTCAACCGGTTAACCGTCGTGGTCAAAGCAGTGCAGCACCTCATCCTCAACACGATCAGGTTTGAGTGAACGCTTTGATAAGAAGTATGCTGTTGTAAGTGGCGAGTATTTCTGCTATAACCTCACTTCCTGTTAGTGTACGGTTATTTACTCAATCAATACGGAGCAGGGTTTTTTAGCCTGCAAAATTTTAGCATTGATCATCTTTTACTAGGAGAAAATTCCGATGGTCAATCACTTCTATGTTCATAAAAATATGGTAAACTCATGTTGTTTTGTTTAGACGAGGAAGGACAGCAATACCAAAAGTTCAGCAGCAACGAAGTCCACAGTGCCCCCTTCACATGGAGCTTTTCATCCCGAAATGAACCGCATTGACCGAGACATGCCACAATACACTGATGTTGAAAGGAAGTTGGTGGAGCAGTTGCGAAACGCCATTGCTCATCTCGATCTCGCTGATATGGAGCAACACCCAAATAGTCGAGGAGCCAACACAAGAGCCAGGTACGCAAACTCTAGTTCGATTTCTAATAAAAACAACTTGAGTTCATCCCGTTCTTTGTCTCAGCATTGCGCAAAGCTCGGGTTCTTTATTATATACATGTGGAAAAACCGGAGAATTTTTCCACATAATTGACGAATTTGTGCGAAGGTGACTCCAGTCTCTAAGACTCAAGCACGGTAAATGACCCAGATTCACATTTCTAGTCAGCTTATAATTTGATCCGTATTGTATTGACCTGCCATGAGTCTAGATAACAAACATCCCGGCTAGATCCTTGTTGGCCATGTTGGTCGGCCGCACCCATTGCGGGCCGCCACACAGATCTGCGGATCCAGAGATTTTTTGCTGGTCGCGAACCAAACCCTTTCATGCTATACGAACGTAAAAATTTTCAAATTTGGCTTGATACACCACGAATATCTGAATTCTCAGCTAAATTCTATCCGCTCCATCATCGACGGCTTTCAACCTCTTTTTCTTCGTCAACCATTATCTTTTTCCCGGTCTCCGGACTGCTTCCGGACAATAAATCTCGTGGCAAACTCCGCCTACTTCGGTGCGTGCTCCGCCCACCAATAGCATTTGGCCCCCTTCCTTTCGCCGACCTCTACCCCTTTTTTCACCGGTCTCTGGGACCTCTTGGAAGCAGCTGATCTCTTTTCCCTCGCCAACCTCTAACCCCGTTTTCCCTATCTCTAGGACTTCTTGGAGCCGAGTTATGAATTTTCGTCGCAAACTCCGCCCACTTTGGTCAAGCCCCGCTCACCGGTGATAGCTGGGCTCCACTCCTCCACCCACCTCCATCCACCTTTTTCCCTGCCTCCGGGACTTCTTGGAGCCGAATTACAATTTCGGCGCAAACTCCGCCCATATTAGCGCACGCTCCACCCAACCGTAGCAGTTAACTTCTCTTTCTTTGCTGACCTATATCCACTTTTTTCCCGTTCTCCAGGACTTCTTGGAACCAAGTTATGAATTTTCCTGGGTAACTCCGCCCACTTTGGCCATGCTCCGCCCACCAATGATATTTAAGTTCCACTCCTCCACCCACCTCTACCCACCTTTTTCCAGCCTCCGGAGCTTCATGGAGCCGAGTTATAAATTTTCGTCGCAAACTCCGCCCACTTTGGTCAGGCCCCGCCCACCGATGGAAGAGACCTCTTGGAAGCAGCTGATCTCTTTTCCCTCGCCAACCTCTAACCCCGTTTTCCCTATCTCTAGGACTTCTTGGAGCCGAGTTCTGAATTTTCGTCGCAAACTCCGCCCACTTTGGTCAAGCCCCGCTCACCGGTGATAGCTGGGCTCCACTCCTCCACCCACCCGGGGGGGCTTGGTCCGCCACCGCTTCCATCCCCACACATTTTTCACGGCCTCCGGACTCGTTGACCGCGGCGTTTTGAAATTTTTACGCATACCGACTCGAACTTCGCCCTCACTCTCTCAGGCCACCCCGCCCGACCGATGACACTTAACCTCCACTCCTCCCCCAGCCCTACTATGCCACCTTTCTTCTCCAGTCCCTCACAGAAGCTTCATGAGCGAATGTATCATTTTCGTCGCACAACTCTGCCACTTCAAAGCCCGCCCACTCATTGCCGCTTCAATTGGGCTGTAGGGCGCAGCTCAACTCTTAACAGAAAAAAGGAAAGTCTGAATCGACACCTGAGATTCATTACGTAGCACGCTCTTATCCCCTTTTTTGCCCGCACCTTCTAACGCACTCTAATGACTTCCGCCGACCCGCGAATATGAAGGATTGTAGATAAATCGCTGGTATTTCAGCGCGCGCCCGCCGTTTTCTGCGTAGGGCAGGCTTCGCTGAGAACCCTAGAGAACGCCCCGCCCACCGGGGGTGGGTCTCCCTAATTCGATGTGACTTACCAATGCACACCTTAACCCACTTTTTGGCCCAGTTTCGAGGTCGTTTTGTCACTGAAATCGAAATCTTGGTCTTCGGTACAATTCATTTCGACGCACGCCACGCCCTCTGTGGGCGGGGCTCCGCTTAGCTGATGTGTGTTTTGTATTACGTGAGACCCTGCCCACCCATCCCACACTTGACCCGGTCCCTCCAGGTGGATCCCGAGGAGCTAGGGAATTTCGTGACAGACATACAGAAGAACGACAGACGAAGCGCTTTATAGTAGTAAGTAGGTGCTGTTTCGAAAGTAGACTTTCATCATTAATTTGAGTCACAGCGAAATGCAAAATTACTCAATCGAAAACCATTTCTGGCCATTTTTCATCTTTTGGCCCTTTTGGTGATACTGGCAAAAAATATATAGAAAGGGCACCGCTAGCAGTTATCGTTTACCTTCACTACCTATGTACTACTTATTTAGCTAGAGATAGCGTACGAACGTTTTCGTGATGACGTTCGTGAATTCGAAGCAGAGAAGGAATCTGAAAAGGAAAGGGTGCAGCGCGTACGCCGACAGTTGGAGCGAGAAAAGAGAATTGCCAGTAAGGACGGCGCTGAACGAGACAAAGAAGTTGCTGAGCAGGTAACTGCGTACTCTCTTAATAAAATCACACCTTCCTATGCCATCGCTTTCCAGGTAGAAGAGCTTATGAAAACTATTTCTCAAAAAGATCGACAAATTTCAACGCTACGACTTCGGTTGCGAAAAGCCGAGGAGCAAGCAGAATCGAAAGACAAAGAGTTAGCAGAGAACAACAAGAAAGTGGAGCGACTAGAGAAAGGTTGCAAGACGTTGCAGGTGACCTATCATTAGTGTTTTAGTTCATAACCTACTTGCAACATTATCCATTCATTATTGTTTTTCAGCGCCAACTCGCTCAACTTCGTGGTAATTATGCTAAGCAGACACAAGAGATGGCTGCCGAGTTACAAGCAGCTCGTAATCACAATGCACGAAGAAGGGGAACCGTTGGTTTGTTGCCGACTCTGGACAAACAAGTAATTTTCCTTTCCCAATGCGAGTTTAAGTTAGTCCTCTGAAAGTGTGTCAGTGGTGTGAAACCTCAGCATTGCGAGTCTTCTGCTTCTTACGTTCGATTCCAAGCTCTTTTTTCATCTGGTTTGCCGTTTTCAATTAATATCACATTCGGGTGTGGAAGCATCTATGTAAGTTGTAGTAAGTGGTATTTGTGCCAACATGTGCTTCGCTCAGCGCCCGCTATTCACCTACTACTCACGGCATTCAAGATAGGTTCCTTTCAAACGTCTTTTAACTTCTCTGTAATCCCTTCCTTTTTCTCCCCTTAGGCCGATGTTAGGCCGATGTCACAGTTTGCGAATCCAGCGAATCGCTGTATCTGAGCGTTGCGCCAGCGAATCGAACGTTGTACCAGCGACTCGACACTGTTTGAAAGTGGCGGGACCCAACGTTTAAAGGAAGTCCACTTCAAAGGACCACACTGTTTGAAAGTGGCGGGACTTCCTTTAAACGTTGGGTCCCGCCACTTTCAAACAGTGTTGAGTCGCTGGTACATAGTTTTACTCGTTGGCGCGATGCTTGATTCGCAAACTATGACATCGGCCTTAGTCTTGACGTTTGAGCGGGTCGAGTTGAAAATGGCGACAATGGAATAGTTCAACAGCTTCTATTAAGGAAATGGTAGAACAAACTGGTAAAAAATTGCTAAAACTAGCTGCGTGTTGATTTCTTGCCTTACAGTGCTTCCGCTCAACAATGTAAATACGTTTCTAGGCTGCAAATGAAGAACGAATAGTGGACCGCCGTGTTGATACACGCGAGTCTCGTCGACCCTCCCAAGAGAGATCCAAATGTGTTAGCTGGGCAGACAAAACCGCTCCCGCGAGCATTCTCAGTGAAGGAACAACTCCAAAGAAAGGATCTTACCTTATGGTATCGATGTTTCTACGTAAAATTTGCTTTCTTGGCGTATTGCCGGCCTGCATAAACAGCATACATTAAGCACATCTTCCAAGAGTTCATACTTCTTGTGTCATTCACATGCGTAATGGTGGTGAAAAATCTACTTTTTCAGGAATTGGTGGAGGAGGGAGCTGCTTATTTTGGGTCATGTCGCTTGTACAAAAATGGAGTCGGTAGGGCTTTTCATTGTTGGTTGTGACAAACATATGACACAGATCACACTGAAGAAAGTAACCGATAGTCATCGATGCGATCTTTCTCTCAAGACATCCCTAATTTTCTTACCTTTTCAGGAGACTGGACAAAGGTTACGACGACTGAATGCGGTTGTGATTTGTACGAATACAGTAATTCTGATATTCGATGGCTGAGCTGTGATCGCGCTGTAGAGGTTTGTTCCAGTCCAAAATGGAGCGGTGGCAAATTCCTACGAATATCTTTGTTTTAGATAAACTACTTTGGAATTATGGGTGCTACAGTGATCACTTATGTCAACGGATGCAATATTAGATATTTTAATGATGGACAGGTATGGTGATGTTAATCCTATGTCAACGGGTGAAAATGGAGCTCCATTTCAAGGATGCATTCCGTAGGAAATGCTTGTCGTTTTCGCTTCGGAATAATATTCGATCTTTTTATATGAACGATATATGAAAGTTTGTTCTTCGTTTTTGAATCATCAAATGGTCATCGTGTCTTGAAATGGAAAACGATGGTGGGAATTAAGTGTTCAACTCGTTAGTCAAAATCTCTAGAAATGACGGTATAGTGGGAGGATTGAAGCAGCTGGTTTTGGATGTCAATATAGAGCAGAACTTCATTAGGCAGCCTATGTGGCGCTGTTTGTAATTCATCTATAGAATGTAATCAGCTTTACAATCTATCATCAAACTGTCTACCGTTCTGGAGCGAATTCCAACAGAGCCTCCATTTCTCGTTGTCGTTGTCACAATGGTCCAGGCAATTTTAAATCGCTTGAAAAATCAAATTTCTTCTGCGCAGAGTTTTTGTGAAACATTCTGGTAATGAGGTTATCTTTTTTTTTATTATTATTCGTTAACGTAACGAGGTGTCTACTCGCTAGCACTGATTCAACAGTCATCCAGATTACTGATAAGGCGTACTCTAAGGTAGGCAGGCTGCGTTTCCAACGAGGTGCGGTGTAAGGTACCCTTCGACTTCTTCAGCTCACCCAATGCTCCTTTTTTCCTGCTAAAGTTGCGGATTCCACTATTATATCCATTAGTCCGAATTTATTCTGCACATAATCTATTTCAGATTGAGCTTTACCGCCTGTCAGGGGAGATTTCTCGTTTTGACTCCATCACGAAGCAACGGACGGAAACAATGCTCCATGGCGATCGCTCAAGATACGTCGAAATGTGCGTATGATTAAGACTGTGGTTATCTGTGTGTAAAAGGATGTGGAAGAGGTGGAACAGATGATGAGCAGATGCAGAAACACTAGACCTAATCAAGCATTTTTTGCTCGGGTACCGCCAGGGGGTGTATGTCAACAGAATCGTACGAATCCCGCGCTAATTGTCGTGGCTGCGGCGTCGCATGGACGAGTTTCTGTGTGCGTCGCTCGAATCGGATTCGAATGTCAATGGGACGCCAAGCAGGCCCGTCCCTCTAATATCCAATCAATGCGTGGATAGTTTCAAGTCCATCAAACCTTTCTTTCTTTCCGCGTTTCTCAATAATGCGATAATGAATTGCGACAAGAGACTTGTTCACACCATTTTCGATGAGAGCCGGAGCGCGTGATTTGGAATTCGATATCCACTCCCCCCCCCCCCCCCCCCAGGATTATTGTGGATTGCATGAAACTCACTGCTCCACCGAATTCGAACAATCCTGCTCCCATCGGAGAATCGCCGCGTTGAGATGCCGCGCAAATAGCCGCACGCGGCGACCGGCCTATTCTATTAACCGCTATTCTCGCATGGGCGATCTTTCAACTCGCTAGAGTCAGATGCCAGTTTTGTGTGTAAAGCAAGAATTCTTAATTGGGCCTCAGTGCGAGCTCTATAGAGGCATATTGTGGGAAATGTTGGCTAGGGAGGATGTAAACATTTGGACTTTCTTTCTGTTTTGTGACACGTGGTCTGCTTCTTTCCAAATCGCAGTAGCACCGGAATGTAGTCTATTATCCTCTCAGACAAGTCTTGTACTTATTAAGTAATCCCAGAGGATGGAGGGGTGATTGGCTGAGGACAAATACACAAATACGGTCCATGGATTGTTTAGTAACATGCGCGTGGTAGGTAACGCCATTCGCTGCTATTAGCATAGTTCCAATCTCTATTTGAGCTGGTCTTAATTTTCGTCATGTGACGACTAGTTACTCCCGTTCGCATCGTTTTGCCTGCGATATGACTCATCCAAAATTAGTGCGTAATGTTGATCAATTCAGAGGAAATGCCATACATCTGACCTGCAGCTAGATTTGTAGAGAAGTGGCTGTTTATCTGGCATTTAGAGTGCTGGGGAAGGCCTGCCGATTAATCTAATATTACTGCGCTATGTTATTAGACTTGTTCGAAGATTTCCGCCGGTTGTTCCGGCTTGTAGTCTTTCTGATTTTAATGGTTGTTTTCGATCGTTTTTTCTTTTGTATAATCTATAAAAAATCATGGACAATTGTGTTTAAGATTCGACTCGAGTGGCTCTTGTCTCCGAATAGAAGGATCGAATAGAAGCTGGCAGCGATTTGGAGAACGATCGACGTATAGAGGCCATCCATCCGATCGGCACGTATACAATCACAGTAATGTGGAGCCGGAATGGATAGAACCAGAATATAATGTAGGAAGTGCTTGTTTGGTATGCGAAGGCCATCAAATATAGCAGCGTTGAATATTTTAGGCTCGACGATGTCCCGATGGTTCTCTCAAGGTCAAATTCGCAAATGTTATGGTGAGTTATTTTAAGTGAAGCTCAGGCGTTTTTCAATTCTATGTAATTATTTTATCAATGAAATGGCTAGTGGTAACAACGGTGGATTCATGAGTAAAAGCTCATTTTTAAAGTAAAGGCGTTGAGGATATTTCAACCCTCAACGAAGGGCGGCATTAAGCTGGACATTGCGAGGAGTTTCACAAGAATGCTGGGTTGTGAACAAAATTTTCAAGCAAAACTTAAAACTTCTTGTTCACAACCCAGCATTCTTGTGAAACATTCGCAAGGCGAACTGCGGCCAAAAACAGCAGTTACAAACAAAAACAAGTCAAAATTACGAGGAGTTTTGAAATTAAACACCAGATAGAAAGTAGCTCACACGATAAAATAATTGATAAATTATCAGTGAGGTTTAATAGCTGACCGCAGCTGACAAAGCGCAATAACTGGAAACTCAGAGTTCTATAACCCTCATTATCGTACTAACTTATCTCTTGGGATGTTCTCTGTAGCGGTAGCCATTAACTGGAAGGAGGGACTCATAAGCGTTGGCTATTGAATACAGTCAGAGCCATCACAAAATAGTGAGCTAATATTGTCAGAAGGCACTCGTGCTGAATTTCGTGTCGTGCCCGACAAGTGAGAACCACGGGCCCAGTGTAATTTTCTGCGGCTATAAAAATAAACCATAGAAATTGAGACTTGCATAGTGACTTGCTGACAATGAGCAGGTGGCTCAAAATTCGCGGACTCAGCAGGATTTCTTCATTTCTGAGCTCCAATCCTTATGAATTTCTTATCCTGCAATCTCCAGTCAATACGAGTAACTATTTTGCTTAATCAATACTTCTGCGAATGCAGTCAGTGAATTGTCAATAGCGAAGAGGTGGTAACGTAATTCTTCGTTGTTATTTTGCCAATAGTTACGAAAGAGTTTCTTTCCCTAAATTTTCAGCTGCCGCCTTGTTGTGTGCGATCAGGGAGAGCGAACTCTATCACAACTTTCGAAGTTCTACAGACTCCCCGGTGCAACCTTACTGTAAACGGTTGTTCTACAGATACAGTATGGTGCTACCCTAATCATGGCAAGCCATCATCAGGAGCCCTATCATACCTTTTCCCAAATGCGTCCGCTACCCGATCCTACCCTTTCCTACCTCAGGGTTGCTTCACAGGACTGCCTACTTGCGACTCTCCGCTGTCGGAGCACGGCTACCCGACAGGAGGCCCGTCGCGCGGCAAGAAGGCAGAGTCAGCGGACGAGTTGCAACGTGATGTGATGTGCAGTGTAGAACGTGCAAAGCTACCATTCCATTTAATTGACCGTGAAACTCGCTACAGTACTCGCTTTGCGGGATCGCTCCGCTGACTGGCGTTTGCTAGCGCAGACAGGCCTTCGCTGGGACCCGTTGAGCACCTGTAATCACAGGCGTCCTCAATGAGGCTTCTCGTCGCTACTGAATCACACTTCACCGCGCATCTTTACGGGACGTAGGCATACATATAGATTAAAATAAGCGTACCGCCGAATGTACATACTGGCAAACAGACCCACACTAAGTGGGTTACACAATAGAATGATTAATTCTCCGTTTGATGCAAGAGCTGTGAGATTTGCACTCAAGTTGTATCAAAAGGGACTTTTCTTGCAGGGCAGAAACACTCTGCAATGAAAGGACCCTCAGAAGCATTCAAAGTAGAAAAAATGTTTTAATTGGTGTTGATAAACGAACGGTATCCTAGTACCAACGAAACTTGACTCTTCAGGTGTGCTGCCTCGGTGTTGAGGACGTCGGCTATGTGAAACACACGACTCGACTGGAGAACGGTAGTGAACGAAAGCGAATGTGTGTCGAATGGGGTCATGTGGCTCGGGCTAGGCAACGTCAAATCGAAGCTCGAAAATGCCAACAGATGACTGCTCTCAATGCCACGATGTAGTGATCAAATTTACGGTGTACATCCTGAATGCCTCTGTTGCCGTTGCTCAAAGCATGCTCGAAAATATTTGTAACTATTGTATATGATAGATCGAGTAAATTTGTAACTTTTGATTTCATTTCTGGATAGGTGATTCTAACGGGACCTTTGTGGTTCGCGTGATACGGGTTGTCATATGCTAGTGACCGATTCTTCGACATTTCTGGAGTGGGACTGTGCTGTGAAATACATAAAAGAGCATACTCGCGAGCTCCAGCTTATAGTGAGGGTACCCGACAGGAGGCCCGTCGCGCGGCAAGAAGGCAGAGTCAGCGGACGAGTCGCAGCGCGTGTGTGCGATGTAGGACGTGCAATGGTACATTCTATTTAACTTGACGCGAAATCACTACAGTACGCGCTGCGACTCGTCCGCTGACTCTGCCTTCTTGCCGCGCGACGGCCTCCTGTCGGGTACCCTATTGTGAGCACAAGGATAAAGTGCTTGGCTTGGATTGTCAATGCCTTTAGATTTTATCAACAGTGCTTTCTCAACGGAAACTCCGAGTCAGCCTGGCAGGTAGTCGATAGTTTATATGCGGCTTCCGTTTTCTAGGAGGAGAGAGTCCAAAAAGCGCCATAGCGTTGGCCTCGATAGCAGATGAAGCTCGAGTACACCTTTGGTTTTCATGCCGGTTCATTATTGTAATATTTACAGAATGAGTAAGCGGCGAATTCTTTAGCCAATCTGGTACACTTGCTATGCGTCAGCGCATTAGGGATCACTACCGTGTCTCATAGTACCAACAAGGCTCAAATTTGCGCCGCCGAGCTTTGCGGAAAGTGAAGCTTTCTTGGTGCTAGGCTGGTAGCCACTGTTATCAGCATTGATAACAAAAACACTTCAGTGAAAATAATGTTCAAAGGGTGAACGTGGGAAGTAGCATTTTTAGTCAAGTGTTTTTTCGAGCCGGTCCGTTCAACAGCGCCCTTCACAGCAAACGATGTTTCGAAAGATTACCGATGCTCTGCATTTCACCAGCAGCGATGAAGATGAAAGTAAGGGAATTTGTGGAAGCTTCTATCTTCGTGCACGTGATGCCGCATTTTAAACCTTCATTGGGACGTCTTTACGGCATACATAGGTATTGGCCAAACAACATTTTGACCTTCCAGGACTATATAATATGATGAGATTTTTTTTAGTTTTTTTTTTCTAGATTAGAAATACTAAAAGAGGAGCTATCGCAACATACGGGGCCTAGTGCCATTGAAACCGCGTGAACAAGTCTTTTTTGAACAGGACTGAGCGTTAGGCGGGGGGGGGGGAACTCCTAGATGCGTGAGCCATTTTGATTTTTTCCGAAGCTCCTGTCCCCTCTCAGGCTCAGTCCTAGAGAATGTCCCGTATGTTGCGATAGCGAATTAAGAGATCCAAGGGTACCCCCAGGAGGCCCGTCGCGCGGCAAGAAGGCAAAGTCAGCGGACGAGTCGCGCGCGTACTGTAGGGATTTCGCGTCAAGTTAAATAGTGTCCCATTGCACGTCCTACATCGCACATCACGCGCTGCAACTCGTCCGCCGACTCTGCCTTCTTGCCGCGCGACGGGCCTCCTGGGGGGTACCCGAGATTCAAATCAAGGGTCAGGATCAATTGTAAGTGGTAGTCGCACTCAAATTCGAAACTAGGGATGTGATGTGGACCATAAGTATATTAGTTGCCGGGAGGGGAAAGATTTGCAATCGAGGGAACACAGATGATCAATTTGTAGGCCACATAGAAGATATACAACTGTGGGCGGATACGGTTTGAATGGGCGTAGGTGGATTGAAATCGTAGCGGCAAAGTGAGGCATTTCGAGGTGCAGAGTTATCGCGACCTCTACAGCTGCAGACTTAGCGGAGAGGCCTCTTCAGTGAGGCTGAGCCAGACGCCTGCATTCAACGGATCAAGTCACTTTGTTTGCAGCGATCTTGCACATCAAACAGGGATGGCAACGTTACCCAATTCCCCACCATGCGTGAACTTCTGTCGAAACCACTGGGCAGAACTCTTCCCATGCCTAGGCTGGAAGTCCCTGTTTACTTAGAGTTTCTTTTTCTATGGTATTCAATTTGAAGGCTTATTGCGGTATCGTGACGCAGTGAAACCTCTGCGCGATGAAAGTGGGGTGAGTAGGGAGCACGAAAATTGCACCCAATTGCGGTTCGGTTTTGCAAGAGAGGTACACGGGGACCGAAGGGTGCACGCGTTACTCCACACGGCACCTGAAGCCCAGTGACTAAAGATAGGGGCGTGGAAAAGTGGTTGTAATGATTTAGATGGCACAAGAAGTAGCAGAAATCTCAGCAACAGAAGTAGTGAATCCTACAGAAAAAGAAGTGATTCCACCAAATGATAACCTATCAGGGAAAATGAAGAGAACATCTTTACCCACTTTCGTTCAAAATCCACCGCAAGCATGTGCGCGCTGTTTCACAGGTTGTGGTACTTCACTTTGCTTCAGCACCTGCTTGTGGACTACTTACTGTTAGCCCATTCTCTTTCGTTTATAGTGCAACCACCACAATTAGCGACGGCGATATGTGCCTAAGTACACATCTTCTGAAATGAATATGTTGCTTTTGGGTTTCAGTGCTAGAGGATCGACGTACAAGAACAGAAGATGCAACTTCGCCCTATACAGCAGATGACCATGACCAGAAGAAAGTCAAGGTGACTCTTAACCAGAAGGTTGCTGGCAGGGCGGCTTCGGGTTCTCCATTAGCTCCTGACAGTGATATTGCGGTGACCGTGCTGGTGTTTGGAAATGGGTTTGCATCAAAATCTTTTTATTGAGCTAGAATTTGATGCAAAAGTGATACGTTCGCGGCACTAACACCAAAGCCTCAAGTGAATTCTCGTAGCAGAGAAGTAACCGTTTCCTTCCTCCAACGATGACTCGGTTTTTCTTGCGTATGGACCGCGTCTTCACTTCGTATCGCAGGAAGGAGGGTACAACCGCAATATGGGGGAACCCTAGGTCTGAGCCAGGGGAAAAAGCGTTAAGGGGAACATCGAGGAAAATGAGAATTGGTCACTCACGCTGTTGTCTCTCCCGCTACCCTACCTTGTTTCAAAAGCTAAGCATTATCAACGAAAAAAAATTAGTCGTCACAATGCCGACCCTTCACGTCTTGCGATAGCTCGGAAAAAAGAATCTACTGCTTGATTATGAGGGTCTCCGGACATCTGTCAACCGTGAGGCTAGGCAATTCAGCGTTTTGTTGTGCTGTCTGGGAGCTCTCACACAAGCGCACTATTACAGAATCTCCGCTTTCTTTACCTCCTTCAAAAGGCTTAGTCCCACTACCACAAAGAACGTCTGCTTTTCCTTCTACACTCTCACCCCCTGGTTGACAGAAGCCTTGTAACCGATTATGGGATACTCTGTTCGTCCGGATAAGCCAAACGTGAGAAAGGGTAGTCGTATTTTGCGAAGAGGCTTCAAATCCTGAAAAGATATCAGATTAGCATCCACACTTCCACTACGAGCCCAGTTCAATCTTATCATAATCCCTCGCTTAAAGGCAAAGGTCGGGCTCAGGCACGCTAGAGAAGTAATTCCCGTGCCTGGAGGTTGTATGTGGGTAGCTGCACACATTGCAGCAACTTCCCACCTTGAAAAACCCGTTAAGGCCCCGGGGCGTTCGGTTTCAATCCAGGGCCGCCTGGTCAATCCAGGACCGCCCACCTCCGGAAGTGGTGCGTGGCTGGCATAACGTGTGAAATCAGCTAGGTTGATTGCCGTATCAACCGATAGAACGACTGACTACTATATATAATCGGCTAAGCGGTTGTGTGTGTGTCTGTGTGTGTGTATGTGTTTGTCTGTCTGACCGGAAATTCATAGCTCGGGCACCAGTGGTCGTCAGGAGTTGGTTTCAAGATATGATATAGGGGGTGGGACGGGAACATATTTGGTGGGGTAAAGAAAGTGATAACAACTGATAAGGGCTGATAAAAGGCGCTAGAACGCAAGTGTCGCGAAATTCATAGCTCGGGCACCAGTGGTCGTCAGGAGTTGGTTTCAAGATATGATATAGGGGGTGGGACGGGAACATATTTGGTGGGGGTCACAAAGTGATAACGACTGATAAGAGCAGATAAGAGGCGCTGAAACACAAATTTCACGAAATTCATCGTGCGCTTCGCTTCATAGCAGGGTCGGTCCTACGTTGCTACAAGTAGCAACGGGGGGTCGTATTTTGATGAGTTTTTAGAGGGGGGTCGTATATTTTGATGAGGTTGTAGAGGGGGGGTCGTACTTGCTTCGATTGTAAGAAGTTGCATGAGGTGAGGGAGGAGTGGCGCGGGAGAAAATTTGTCGTTTCAGAAAATGAAGCGTGGGATTAAAGGTAGGAGGGGGGTAAATTGGTGGAAATTTAGGGAAGGGAATTTAGGTAATTTTTTTCGGTTTCAGAGTGACTATATACCCCCCCCCCCTCGACGGCATTTTGGAGGAAAAAGTGGGCGGAGTTTTCGTGGGTCGAGTGATACCAGAATGAAATACTATAGCGAGGAATATGGTGGTCGAGGGTCGAGAAAAGGGGGTCGTACCAAATCCACCTTTGGGGAGGGGGGTCGTAAAAATTTTTCGAAAAGTAGCAACGATAGGACCGACCCTGCTTCATAGTCGATAGGAACTGATTTTGGGACATGATATGGGGGTTGGACGGTAACATATTTTGTGGGGGTCAAAAAGTGATAACGACAGATGAGGACTGATAATTACGATATGCGTACGAACGTAGAGATTACTCGAAACCAGATTGCAGATAATGCATTTCATTTCAATATCATTTCATTAGCTTTCAACCGCTACACCTTCTAGAGTTCTTGAGGATGAATGGGATGCTCGAATAAATTTGATAATGAATACTGGGCATTCCGTTTTGAGATTACCAAAAATTATTCGACCGCTAAATTACCTCGATACTCGATGCATGGTGGTTGTTTACATACATCACTTTAGCTGTGCTGCG